CACTGTTTCAGAGGTCTCTATCCATAGGTGGCCAGTTCCTTTGCCCTAGGCCTGAGGTATGGCAGAACACCTTGGTGGAAGGGTGTGGCAGAGGAAAGCAGCTCAGGAAGTGACAATCTGGAAGGAAAGAGAGTTTACCAGGGAAAAAAATGTAAATCCCAAAGGCAAACCTCCAGTGAACCACCTCCTCCAGCCATACCTATCTGCCTACAGTAACTGCCTAGCCAATCCATTCAAGTGGATTAATGCACAAATTACACTAAGGTTCTCATTTCATCTCTAAATTTTTTTTTGCATTGTCTCACCTAATGAGCTTTGGGGGATACTTCATATCTAAACTATAACAATAAGAAAGGAGCTTTTGGATTTCTGTAATCGTCTGTTAATGTGATATGATTAACTTCTTAACAAAACATGAAATGCTATGGACAATATTTATGTAATAGTCATTAAAATATGTAAGATAGGGGTGGGGATGTAGCTCAGTGGTGGAGCACTTCCCTAGCAAGCATGAGGCCCTGGGCTTAATCCCCCAAACCATAAATAAATAAACACCCAACAGTGTGCTATAAAAATACTGGGAAATTCAGAGGATGTAAAATGGCTAAAACTGAAAAACTAAGACATGGCAGTATTGTGTTACTTAGAAATACAGAATTAAATCAGAGAATAATTTTCCTTTGGAAAGCAGGAATCAATGAAGACAGGTTATTATTATATACCTTGTATTTATTTGACTCTTAAGTCACATACCTAATCACTTTGAAAAAATAAAAAAATCACATTTGAGAAGAAAAACAAGTGGTAAGAGAAGGAAGTTATAGTATTAGTTTTTAATTTAGCCAATTTAATAGAGTTTTAATCATCCCACATTAAGAATAATAGTAGAGGGCTGGGGCTATAGCTCAGTGGCAGAGCACTTGCCTTGCATGTGTGAGGCACTGGGTTCAATCCTCAGCACCACATAAATATAAAATAAAGGCATGCTGTTCATCTACAACTACGAAAAAAAAAGATTAAAAGTAGGACTAATTCTTGGTTACTACTTTTCTCAAGAAAACTGAATAAATCAAAGCACTAAAAGTTGTATTTTTTCATTGTGTCCCCACACTCTCTGCTTCTATTTCACAACAAAAATGTGAATATTGCTTTCCTAGTATTTTGACTCAGCTATCTCCTTTCCCTGCCCTCACTGTGGTATTATAAATAGTGCACTATTTATATGAGGTTACATGTCACTTACTTGAATTGAAAAATGACCTATGTGAATATGGAATTATTTAATACAAAGCTGTTTTGTACTTTCAAAAATAATTGTATTTTACTCAGGAGCCTGAAAGTGATTAAAATAGATTTGTTATGTGTATATATCACCTATAATTTATACATAAAAGTTGTGCTTAATGAGTTTTTAAATCTCTTTAGGTTTTTTATTTTGGGGGGAAGGGGCACCAGGGATATAACCCAGGGGTGCTGCATCCTCAGTCCTTTTTATTTTTTGTTTTGAGACTGGGTTTCTAAGTTGCTGAGGGTATTGCTAAGTTGCTCAGGCTGCCCTCAAACTTATGATCTTCCTGTCTCAGCCTCTTGAGCTGCTGGGATTAAAGATGTATGCCACTGTATCTGGTATTTTTTTTATACTTATACCATCTCTTAACAAAAAAAAAAGATTTGGGCAAGCAAAAGTAAACTAGTCTAACTGCTGTATAAAGTGTAAGAAAGAAACATAGCAGGCTCTCCATGGCCTTCAGATTTCTTTGTTTAAAATACATATTTGTTTTAGATGGATACGATACTTTTATTTATTTATTTTTATGTGGTGCTGAGAATCAAACCCAGTGCCTCACATGTGCTAGGCAAGCACTCTACCACTGAGCTACAACCCCAGCCCCTGTTTTTTTTTTAGGGTCCTTTGTTACCTAACCCTTCCTGACCTCATTTCCAGCATCCTTGGTATCAGCACTAATCCATTCAGTCATTCAGCAGATACTTATTCAAAGCCTCTGGTGTACCAGGTCTATTACTAGACTGCTAGTAGTTCCCTGAACACATGATATTATCTCCTACTTCTTAGGCTTTGCAATGGGATTTTCTGATCTGAAATGTAACTTTTATTCCTATACCTTCCTAAGGCCAACATGTCCATTAATAAACAAAGGTGAGGGGAAGCTTTATCATACCCCTAAAAGTTATACTCTACCACAGCCTTATATTCTTCTTTATGAGCCTCATAAGAGTAGAAACCTTGTGTTTTAGTTACTGGTATGTTACTACAGTGCCAGATTTATTGTTTGCATTCAAATGTTGTTAAATGAATAGATCCCAAATGTAATTGTCCATTTATCTGTCTTTTTTCAACATGGTGTATGCCTCTTGGTGCATGGGTCTATGATATAATCAACTTCGTTTCTAGCATTTAGCCCTTACATAAAACCTAGCACACAAAAATGTGTTTAATAAATTAATTGTCAGTATTACCATTAATCCTGAATATATATAACTCTGAGGAATACACAGAAAATATCCTGATGACAGAGAGACATGAGGTGCTGAAGGTTGTCCCTGTGTTTCACTTAAATAGGAAAAATACATATGAAAGACACAAAACTATGAACTACAAGTGTCAAATGACCTGCTGAGCTCTATGCTGTCACCTCCATTAATTTAAAAATAAAATAAATAATTCTTAAAGAAATAGTCTTAAAATAACCAGGTAAAATTTTATCAGCAATAATAAATGGTGGATTTCCTATTCATTAAATTGATAAGGTAAGCACTTCTTGATTCATGACATATGTTTATAACCTGAATTTACTTTTCACTAAAAGTAAACCAGGGTCGATACACAAAAATCAGTTGCATTTCTCGACAGTAGTAGTAGTGAACAGCTCAAGAGATTAACAGTTTCACTTATAATAATGTCAAAAAATTATTTTATGAAAAAGTTTAGCCAAAGAAGTGTAAGACATGTACACTGAAAACTATAAAACATGGTTAAAAGAATGTAAAGATACACCACATTCATGGATTGGAAGACATGATATGGTTAAGATGGCAATACTACTAAAATTGATCTATAGATTCCATGAAAATCCCATAAAAATTCCAATTTTTTTTTCACAATGGGTGGGTGACTGATTCTAAAACTCATATGGAAAATCAAGGGACCCCAAATAACCAAAATAATAAAAAGAACAAAGTTTATGGATTTGCATTCCCTAACTTGAAAATTTACTGCAAAGTTAGAGTTATCAAGACAATGTGGGACTGGCATAGGATAGAAATATAGACCAGTGGAGTAGAACACTAAGAGTCCAGAAATAAATCCATACATGTGTGGTCAATTGGTTTTCTTTCTTTCTTCTTCTTTTCTTTTCTTTCTTTCTTTTTTTTTTTTAGTTGTTGATGGACCTTTATTGCATTTATTTATGTCAAACCCAGTGCCTTGCATGTGGTAGGCAAGCACTCTACCATTGAGCTACAACCTTAGCCTGGTCAATTGATTTTCAATAAAAGTGTGCAGACAATGCAATGAGAAACAATAATTTTTTTCAACACATGGTGCTGGATATTCACATGCAAAAACATAAAGTGGGAACCCTATCTCTCACTGAATACAAAAAAAAAAGTATTAATTCAAAAAGGACCAAGGACCCAAATGTAAGATTGAGAACTATAAAACTGTTAAGAAGAAAGCAGAAGTCATACCCATGTTTATGGAGCATAATTCTCAATAGCCAAACTATGAAACCAGCCTCAGTATCCACTGATGGAAAGACAAAAGAGAAAATGTGATATACTTACACTGGAATTTTATTCAGCCATAAAGAATTAAATTATGTCATTTTTCAGGAAAATGGATGGAACCTCAGAACATTATGCTAAGCAAAATAAGCCAAACTCAAAAGTAAGGGTCATGTTTTAACTCAGATGTGGAAGCTAGAGAGGAAAAAGGAAAACGTGTGAGAGTGTATCATGAAAATTAAAGGGGGATTAGTAGAACAGAGGAAAGGGAGCAGGAAGCAGGAGGAAGGTAAGGAAAGGATAAATATTGGGGAATTATATTGACCAGATGATATTGTTATATCATGTGTATATACAAATATATAAGAATGATTCCCACCATTGTGTATAATATACCAATAAAAATATGGAAAAAAGGACTGGGGATGTGGCTCAAGCGGTAGTGCGCTCACCTGGCATGCGTGGGGTGCTGGGTTCTATCCTCAGCACTACATAAAAATAAAGAGTTGGTCCACCAAAACTAAAAAATAAATATTAAAAAAATTATCTCTCTAAAAAAATGGAAAAAAGAAGCATAGGTTTAAATCCACACAATTTTGAATTAAACAATTGGATAAGAAAACTAAACCACAAACAACTAAAGAAAAAACTAGATAAATTTGACTTTAACAAAAGTAAGAATTTTCACAGGGGCTGGGGATGTGGCTCAAGCGGTAACGCACTCCCCAGGCATGCGTGCAGCCAGGGTTTGATTCTCAGCACCACATACAAACAAAGATGTTGTGTCCGCCGAAAACTAAAAAATAAATATTAAAATTCTCTCTCTCTCTCTCTCTATCTAAAAAAAAAAAAAGAATTTTCACAATACAAAGAATACCATCAAGAAAGTGAAACCTAGAGAAAGGGAGAAAATGTTTGTAAATCATATACCTGTAAGGAGAATTTTATCTAGAATATATAAAGAACTCTTATAGTGCAAGGTATGGCGGTGCACATCTGTAATCCAGTGACTTGGGAGGCTGAGGTAGGAGGATCAGAAGTTTGAGGCTAGTCTCAGCAACTTAGAGAGACCCCCAGAAACTTAGCAAGACCATCTCAAACTAAAAAATAAGAGAGACTGGGGACATAGCTCAGTGGTAAAATGTCTCTGGGATTTCAATTCCCAGTACCCCCCTAAAAAAGAAGAAAAGGAGAAAAAAAAAAAACCTCTTACAGTGCAAAAATGAAAAGACAAATTACTCAGTTTAAAATGAGTAAAGGTACTTCAGCTTTGTTTTATTTCCATTTCACATTGTTGTCTGTGTTGTGATTCAATACCTGGTGCTTGATATTTACATGCAAAAGCACCATTTCTGATGTATAAAATTGTTTTGTAAATATAGAGAATTCAATTGTAAATATATTATCATGGCTATTTAAAAAATAAATAAAATGAGTAAAGGATTTGAAAAGACATTTCTCCAATGATATTCAAATGGCTATTACTAAAAACATTAGTTATTTGGAAAAAAATAACTTAAAACTACAATAAGATGCCCTAGCATTGCTATAATTTTAAAAGAGACAGACAATAACAAGTGTTGGCAAGGACATAGGAAAGCTAGGACCCTAATACATTGCTGTTAGGAGAGTAAAATAGGGCAGCTGTTATGGAAAAAGAATTTCCCCCCAAAAGTTACACACAGAATTACCGCCTGACTCAGCAATTCCACTCCTAAGAGAATTGAAAACGTGTTCACATAAAAGCTTATACATAAATATTCACATCATGCTCCAGTGTGGTTATTTGTAATAACCAAAAAGTAGAAACAACCCATATTTCCACCAATTAATAAAATGGATAAACAAAGTGTGACTTATATATTAAGTATTATTTAGCCATAAAAAGAATGAAACACTGTTACATGCTATAAGGATGAACTTTAAAAACATGCTGAGTGAAGAAGCCAGAGACAAAAGATTACACATTATATATATATCATTTGTATGAAACGTCAAGACAAGGCAAATTCTATAGAGACAGAAAGATTAGTGGTTGTCAGGGATGAAAAAGGAGGAAATCAGACTGGTTGTTAATAGGAACAGTTTCTTTTCAGAATGATGAAAATGTTCTGATGTTAGTATGTATTACACAACATAGTGAATATACTAAAAACTACTAATTGTACACCATAAGATGATAAATTTTAGGGGCTAAGGATATAACTCAGTTGGTAAAGTGCTTGCTTCACATGCACAAAGCTCTGGGTTCAATCCCCAGCACCACACACATACAAAACAAGATGGTATACTTTATGCAAGGACCCAGGTCTAGCCCCCAGCATCATACATACACACACACACACACACACACAGAACAGGAAATTATGTGTGTGTTTAATTATGTATACATATCCATGTACATTATGTACATATCTAAAATTATAATTTTATATTTAAAAATTAAATTTTAAAAAAAATTAAGTAGGATCCTAAACTTGAAATAAATTCTAAGCAATTGTGTAGGTCAAAGTGCAAACCTACTTGCAAAAGGACAAAATGGGAAAGTGCCCTTCCCTTCCCATCAGAACTGGTTAGATGTGATTTTTGTGTTCAGATACAATTTATGATACCTGCCCTTTTTTTAGCATACATTAGATCAACTGAAAAACAATTTTTTTGTTGTGAGTTTATATCTAGTTCTTACAACATTCTCTTTTACTCTGCTTTATGTTCACCATAGTACTTATTCAGTAGGATATAAGTTCCTTGAGAAAAAATGTTGTTGGTTTTATCTGCAAAAATAAAAGGTTGTTAGAAAACAAAGCAGGAAAATGCCTATAAGTTTAAAAATCTATAGAAATTTCCATCTATTTCATATAAATGCCATTTTGTGATGTTTCAGAAAATAAATTACTTGAGCTACCTGTTAATCCTTTGGGAAGAGGCCCAGATTCTTTCCCATATGAGAATTAAAGCCCAGGTTACTAACCCTCTTCCTGAAGGTCCAGGTTTGCTGTGGTCTGGCCAATTAAACTCACATAATCAGATCCTTACATGCAACTTTCTTTCTCATGGGAGATAGTGAATTTCCTAATAAATCTTACTAAGAGGATCTCAGTACCCTGAAGTTGACTTTCAGGAAAAGTGTATATTAGTATTCTTCCTTTCTGATTTATTTGTTCACAATCCACTAGAATACTTCTGATTGTAGGTTCTATTACCCTTAAGGTCTTGGTTTCTCTTGGATTACTTGATCATGGGCGTTTTGATCTAAATACAGACAAAATATTTCTTAACATTGGCAGATACTTGCAAAATAGGGGGAATGAGCTTCCCTCTGAATACATATGAAGGAGAGGCCACCATGGTAATGTCAAATTTAATTCTAATATATTTATTATATATAGTAGCTAAGAGTGGCAAATGCCAAATGAAGACTGACTACCATTCATCTGATTACATATTTTTGACATGCACCAAAAATATAAAATTTATTGTTTACTATTTCCTGGTGGGGGGGAGGAATATTTAAAATATTTTAATATATTTAAAATATTTTTGTGATTACCAAATGGAAACAATTCCATTTAAGACAGTCATCATTATATAAAATACATGTATGAACATGTGAATTTGGTGTTAACATACCTTATATACAAACAGAGATATGATAAATTGTGGTATAAAGGTGTATTAAGAATTGTAATGCAAAAAAAATAAAGAGAGCTCATATATATTGGCATAATTTGGCGTGAACATACTTTATATAGAGTTATGAAAAATTGTGCTGTGAATGGATAATTATGAATGTAATGCATTCCACTACTGTCATGTAAGAAATAAATTAAAAATAAAAATAAAAGTTTACACAGAGTTGCCCTCAAAATTAAAAAAATAAATAAAAAGTTGTTTTCTAGCTGTAGTTCAGTAGCTCACAAAGGTAACAACTAAGAAACAGACTATTCCCTCCCATCCCCCCCAAAAAACCCTTATGGTCAAAAACCCAGTAAAAACATATTTTTCATTCATGAATCAAAGAAATGGTCATAAAGCAAAACTTATGCCTATAAAAACAGATTCAGCAAGTTGTTTGTTTTTTGGTAGCAGGGATTGAACCCAGGGGCGCTTAACCACTGAGCCACATCCCCAGCCCTTTTTATATTTTATTTAGACAGGTTCTGGCTAAGTTGCTTAGGAGCCTTCCTAAGTTGCTGAGGCTGGCTTTGAACTTTCAATCCTTCCACCTCAGCCTCCTGAATCTCTGAAATTAGCCATTGCACCTGGCTAGATTCAACAAGTCTTAAATAAATATATGTGATGCTTTGGTTTTTCATGTGTTTGATAAAACAACAGACCATTTTCCATATAGTAATTAAAAATAGTAATTTCCCTCTCAATTTATTAAATAATATTTAATAATTAAGTTGCACTTGAAAATATTTGTAAATGTAAAGGAGTGATTTATAAATAGTTTTTTGTTGTAAAGAAAGGCTATTTGGTGTTTTAGGAAACATCATTGTTTAATGTACTCTATTAATAAGATTATAACTGGATCATCCTAGTCATCTAACTTGGAACTTGGAACTAACTACGAAAATACCCAGAGAAACAGATGGATTTAAGCCAGATACTGGAATGGAACGATTCAGATGGTGTCCAAGTTCTAGGGATTTCAAAAGGAGACTGAAACCTTAGTATATAAACACTTTGTCTTATTCCCATTCTCCCATCTACAGCATACAATGCTAGGAAATAACAAAATATTGCCAAGTTTAATACTTATAAATAATCAAAATTATAAATCAGTCAAATTCAGCCAACTCTTCATTCTTACTGAGTAGAATAGTGAAATGCCACTGCAGGCCACTAACAAAAAATAACATGAATTCTGCCTCTCAAAGTAGGTAGATAGATGCTGATTTGTAATCATGAATGAAAATATTTTCTCCACAGGGTTTTCAAAACAAAAATTCAGGGATATTTTAGCAGAGAGAAAAATCTAACAAAAATGGTTAAGGTAGTATTGTTTTATAAAAATGAGTCCTGTCAATTTTGCCTACAATCAAACGCTTGTTTTTGATACACGATTCATGGTTCTTCACTGGTAAAATTACTTAAATCCAAACTGTTTTCTGTGGTTTATGCTGGGCTATTGGAATTTATCCCAAAATGCTGTCTCTTATAATTCTCTATTGAATGGCTTCACAATTTCCATTTACATTATTTAGGATGGCTTTTCATGTAATCTCAAATTATATAATCAAAAGAAAGGAGTCAGTATAAAAAGTGGGATGTATATTTTCGATTGGCAAATTCAGTACTAACTAGGTGTATTCTTTAGGTTTTACAGATAACCAAAGACTGAAGTTAAGTTTTGATCTTTTTGTCAAAGTAAAATATATTCTCTCCAAATATTTTTGAAAACCTTTTGCTTATCTATTGAATGCTTTCCAATAAACCTTTCTTTCCTGTTCTGTCCCCTCCTGCCTCCAGTCATCTAGATGTCTTCTCAGAGCCACTCCAATCCTGGATCACTGTGGAGAGTAAAGGGTAAGTAAATACATAACTATACTTTGTTCTTTGTAGGGATAAAAGTGGTTCTTTTTTTTAATCTTTTTTTTTTTTTTTTTTGGAACTGGGGGTCAAACCCAGGACTTTGCAAATGCAAGGCGGACACTTTGCCTCTGAGCTATTCCCAGCTCAAAAGTGGTTCTTCAGGCTGGGGCATAGCTCAGTGGCATAATAGCATTTACCTAGCATGTCCTTGGTCCTGGGTTTGATCTCTAAGACTATGCTCCCCCCAAATCAAATTAAAAATAAAAAATAATAAGACACCTCAGAACAAATAAAGTGAATTCTAACAAGATTTACCTCTTTGGACTTGAAAAATTATACTTTGTTTTGTATATACTATAATAAGCTTGAAATTTAATAATATATGAAGTTTAGAAAATTTCCTATTTTCAACTTTCATTACATACTATTATTAAATGGAGTTTTAAATGTCTAATAATTGTAAGAATATATTTTTATAAAAGTTTAGTTATCTAGTTTTTTCTGTGTTTTTTGTTCTTGGCATAAAGGATCATGCTCATTATTAGACAGTCTGTGAGACTGTTTTATTTTTCTCTTGAACAACTATAAAGAACTCAACAGAACTGTGAGCTGTTGGGTACTATACTACTTGCCTGTAATCCCCAGCTACTAGAGAAGTTGAGTCAGGAGGAACACAAGTTCAAGGCCAGCCTGGGTAACCCTGTCTCCAAATATAACATAAATATGGCTGGGATGGGGCTAGGGTTGTAGCTCAGTGGCAGAGTACTGCCTAGAACACGTGAAGTACTGGGTGAAGTACTTCAGCTACATAAAAATAAATAAATAAAATGAAGGTATTGTGTCCACCTACAACTACAAAAAAAAAAAAAGAAAGAATGAATGGGATGTAGCTCAGTGGTAGAATGCCCCTGGGTTCAATCCCCAGTACTGCAAAAAAAAAAATAGCCAGATTAAGATAACCAGTAGTGGGCCAGGGTTGTAGCTCAGTGGTAGAGAGCTTGTCCAGCATGCGTGAGGCACTGGGTTCAATCCCTGGTTCAATCCCATAAAAAAAATAAATAAATAAAAAATAAAAGTATTGTGTCCATCTACAACTTAAAAAAAAATAACCAATACTATTGTACATAAGTACATAAGACTTAGGTAGAATTAGTCTTAGGACAACTAATTCTATTACATATCTTTGGGTGCAAATTACATTGCCAACATTTCAAATAATGAAAATTTTGTTGACTTACTCTGGAACTTTCTAGAAGGAAAAATATGATAAGAACTATGTATAAAGTATCAAAAAACAACATTATAACATCAAGGTTTTCTGAAATTTTTCTTTATAATTTTCCCTTGTTCAAATTACCTCTGTGTTGGGTTCATGTTGGGTTCAACATTAAGGTCACTTCAACAAACACCGGTATTTGGTGCCCTATATGCAGTGAATTCTGTGTGCACGGAATATAAGCAGTAACCCCTGGTGAAGGCAATAAGGGGTGCATTGTTTGTAGAAAATTTAAAAACAATAAAATCCATGTAGTTTTTTTTATTATCAGTATCAAGGACAATAAAAAAATACTACTCCTTATTGGGCAAAGACTTCTACTTTGGTAAACTACTGCCAATTTAGGCTCAAAAATACTACATAGCCAATACATTTGAGACATTTATTGCAGAAGGCTCTCATTCTCACCTTTATTTTAAATTTTTAAAAATATAAATGTAGGGAGTGTGTTACCAGTATTAACAAAGGCAGCCTACAACCTAATTTCAAATGTAAATACATATAATGAATATTTTTTAAAATTCCATCAAGTCACGAGAAGAATTGTGGACATATGTGACTTTCTATTTGAACCTTCACATATTAGTACCCCAGTATTTTAAAGTCACAAGTGCCTAAGGAAGTAATTGAAAGATAAAAACAAGTCATACTTGCATTTAATGTTTGGGAATTTGTGTTTTTCACAGAACTGAACCCACACTAAGTATCTGACTCCATTATAATTCATTCTAAGACTTAAATATAAGACCTTTATTTTTTCAGATAGGGCACCTATTCTCAAATAAGCATTCATAACTTTATTAACCTCGAATGATATAAAATAAGGCAATGCTAGTGGCAATATAGGCTATGTAACTGAAAATCATCTGTATATGTGCTGATTCTTTGGATCATGAAAGTTCATGAAGATTTGAAGAATTGAGGACACGCTCCCCAGATAAAACCCAAAACAACATTAATAAAAGAAATTAATATTTAAGTACAAAGGCAGGCTGAGGAGTATAGTTTAGTGGTAGAGTGCTTATTTAGCCCAAACACTGCAAAATAAGAAATTAATAAAAGCACATGCTTGTAATCCCAGCAACTCAGGAGGCTGAGGCAGGAGGATTATAAATTGAAGGCCACTTGAACAACTTTGCTTTTTATTTTGAGGCAGGGTCTTGCCTCAAAATAAAAAGCAAAAAGGGCCGGGGATATCACTTATGGTAAAATGCCCCTGGGTTCAATACTCAGTACAAAAAAAGAAAGAAAAAATACAAAAACATTTTTTTCATCAATGTTTCCACCATCAATTGTTCCCATACTTATTAGAATTCTCCAACTCTGTAAATCTCTAGTTAGGGAAGGAACTAATATTTTATAGAGGCAGATAGTTTTCCTTTCCAATGCTGTTACAGGTAGAGAATAAAAGGACATAACGAACCAAGAAAAGCACAAACATTTTATGTACATGCAAAAAATACAAATATAGTGACAAAGTGTTTAATGTCAAAAAGAGAGCAAAATCTGTTCTTAATAGCTGTGTGTGCATACAGGTTGTTTTAAATATGTATATTTATTTTATTAAATAATTGCCATAGCAGGGATTGAAACCAAGGGCACTGTGCCACTGAGCTACATCCCCAAGACCTTTTTATTTTGAGGCAGGGGTCATGCTAAATTGCTGAGACTATCCGTGTACTATGATCCTCCCATTTCTACCTTCTGAGTTGCTGTGAGTTGCTGAGATTATGGGTATGTATCACAGCACCCAGTTATTATAAGTATATTAAAAATAATTTTATTTGCCCCAAGGGAGGTACCTTATTTTTTATTTATGTGTATATAAATAGTATTTTTATCATAGTATATAAAAGATATATATTTAACCAAAGCAGGGGGTAAAATCATATCTTTGTTACTTTACAGTCAGATTCACTTGTGCATTATCAAATCAAATCACTGCTTTTCTTGCTTTGTTAGTGAGAAAATGTGTTTTTATTTTCATAGTTAAAACAAGCATGTGCTAATTTCTTGGGAAAGCAGGATTCTAGTATCAAAATACATTCTTATAGGATAAATTATTTATAATTAAGGCATTGCACATTAATCTTATAAGAAATTTATAATTAGAACTTTCATTAATATATATACTAATAAACATATAATTCTATGCTTTGTTGAAGGCACTGGCCTTTTGCCATAAGACTGAAATATATAATAATATATATAATCATTATATATATCATACAAACAAAAAGAAGACTAGCTGAAAAACAGACTTGTGAGACTTCAAATAGCCTCTGGTAAAAATAAAATTTCCAAGTTAGTTTGTAAATTAATTGTTTGAAACTTGAACAGTTTTTCATTGGGCCAATGTTATAAACTGTTCAGTTTCCAGATAAGTCCACAGAAATCTACTTAACCCATAATTTAAATGAATTTTAGTACCTTGCTTAAGAGGTAAACTATTCACTTATTTAGAAGTTTGTTGACTTTCTTTTCCTGAGGAACAGGTATTTAGCAAATTGGACAAAAAACTCCAGTCCCTAGAGCTAGCAACTAGATAAAGGCAGAAAGCTTTAAGTGGGCACAGAGTAACAGTTTGAATCTTGGGAGAGATGGTCAGGACAACACAGAGTAAAATACAAAAAAAGTCTGTAACAGCATCAGATAAGAAAAAATGGATTCAACAAGAAGTGGGTAACTCTCATTGGGTAGGCATCTATTGAGTCAGGGTGGTGTTACTGCTGTCCCCAAATATTAATTAAACTAAGAAACTCAAATTTGGATTACAAGTAAAAGTTTGGAAAAGAAACAAAATAATACTGCAGGTCATCAGAATGGAATGTTGCCTATAATGAAAAAAAAATATGGTGAAAAAGAACTGGTTGGATAAATTGTTCAGTTCTTAATTCTAAACATGATGAACAAAAAGGCTGAAACAGAAAATGCAGCAAAAATTTCATTTACAAATTTACAGTCCCAATGTTGTTTGGTCTGCCTGTTTGAAACTCCTGATGAAGTAGGTTGTAGAGAAAAGTCTCAGACTGAATCCCATCAGATAATTAGCTAAGGATCCTTTGACTACATTTCAGGCTTTCCAAAACAGCCTCCATGTGACTAGATATGTCACAATCAATGTTCTTTTCCTGAAAGTGCTAAAATAAATGTTTTTGTATTCTTCTATCATTGTCTCTCTCTTCCATGTAACTGTATCTTTTCTCCCAATTTTGGTAGCATAAACAAAAGACATGTCAAATGCACATGGCAGGAGAAAGATGAAAATTTACATTTCATTATATTAGCAAACCAATAATATAACACTATAAACAGACAACAATTCTAGAAAAACAACAGAGATTGTTTTTTAAAAATCAAGACTGATCACTTAACTTCTGTGGGCTCTGACACTAAAATCAACTTTAGTCCATAAACCTGGCAGGTTGTCTTAGGCTACAGACTGTATTTTGGCAAAAAACTTCATCTGTGCCAAAACATATGCAGCAGGTAACTCCCTCTCTAACACAAGAAATATTTATCTGGCATCTTTTAAAAACAACAATATATTTTTATATTAATATATTAAGGATTATTGTATCATAACATGTTTATAATACACTTTTATATTAAATAATAGCATACATTTGAAGGATAATTTAGTCTATTAGTTTTGTTCTTCCAATATACCTGGAAAATAAAAAACAAATAAAATATGCCTGAAAAAAATTGAAGTATATTTGTAAGTGGGAATATTTAAGTGTTATCAAGTATTGTAAAATGTGTTTATTTAATTATTGTGGAAATGTAAATTAAAACTCCCCAAAATATACAATCCTCCCATTCTTCCTTTATCTTCAGAAGAACCAATGAGCTTGAGCTTTACTTTTAACAAGTTAGAGAAAGGAATCTTTTTACATATCTACTATATTAAAATGTCTATCGTTAAATGACTAAGTTTTTAAGTCACTAGGTTTCCTAGACACTTCAATGGAATCAGCAGTCATTGATCCAACCCCAACTCCAAGACTGGAACGTCGTAATGATAGTTCCAAGGCAGAAATCTGACGTAATTCTTTACGACACAATTTTACAGGTGTGATACCATGAAGCTGTTCCACATTTCCCACTGGCTGAATTTGGGATGATGGTCGACTGTGAGATTTTGTAAACTGATATTCATCTGTTTCTGTTTTATCATCATTGCTTAACAGTTGCCCACTAGACGGTGCTAAAGAGCTAAAAATAGAAGGTAACTCTGGGGTATCTTCCCAAAGTTTTTGGGAATTTGGTTGTGTTCTTAAACTGCTTGAAGAACTGTTTACTTCTCTTTCTCTTGCACTTAATTTCATACTTTCAGTTCTGGATGCCCATTTTAATTCTTCTGAAATCACACCTGCCTCTTCAGGGTTCAGGACTCCATCTCCAGCATCATGATCTAAAAATAATCCCAAAACCAAAAATTCAGAGATCATTTCCTTCAAATCAGGTATTTTAATCATAATATCCTAACATAACTACATTAATATTTCTCACTATGCTTGCTGTTTGTTTAATGTTTTTTTTAGACACACAATGTGTGAGTATTAATTATTCCACTTATTCCCGGGAAAACTTGGAATCTCTCTATTTGTGTTTCCATTCCTGCCCTCTGCTTAGCTTGTTGCTAGAAAATTTCAAATCCAGCCAAGTGAAAATTTCAAATCCAGCCTCTGTCCCTGGAGGCATACTTCAGGGACTTGGCATTAAATGTATAAAAAGCTGGTCTTTGGACAGAAAGGTTCAGATATCCAAATGTCCTCAGGGTTGTGTGCCACAACTTCCACCATGGAAATGAAGATGACAGTATACCCTCTCAGTAAGGAACAACCACTGGAATGAGTGATTAGAAGTAAGTGAAAAGACCCAGCTATCCTACTCCTTGGTTTATACCCAAAGGACTTAAAATCAATGTTTATAGAAGCTCAACTCACAATAGCTAAACTTAGAACCAACCTAGGTGTCCTTCAACAGATTAATGGATAAAGAAAATGTGGTATACATACACAATGGAATATTATTCAGCTTTAAAAAAGAATGAATTTATGGCATTTGCTGGTAAATGGATGGCACTAGAGAATATCATAGTAAGTGAAATAAGCCAATCTCAAAAAACAAAAGGCAAAGTTTTTTTCTCTGATATGCAGATGCTAACGCACAATAAAGGTGTGTGTGTGGGGGGGGACTAGGGAAAAACAGAGTTACTTTAGGTAGAGGGGAGTGAAGGGAGGGGAGGGAGTAAGGGGGTAGGAAGGACAGTAGAATGAATAAGACATTATTACCCTATGTACATATATGACTACACGACCAGTGGGATTCTGTATTATGTACAACCAGAAAAATTAGAAATTATACTCCATTTATATAAAATGTATCACAGTGCCATGTATCATACTGTCATGTATAACTAATTAAAACAAATTTTAAAAAAGAAGTGAAGAGATCAAAGCTTAGAAATCGTCAAATCATAACATCTATCATCAAAGACAAAACTTGCTTAAGAGAAATACATATAGGTACTAAACCTAATATGATGAATGCAAACTTCAACATATGACAATACATACTTAATATACTTTTAGTTCTTTGAAGACAAAGTTGCATAGTGACAGACCCCAATTCAAATCTGACCCCCAGATACATTTTATTTGGTCTTTAATGTTAATAATTCTTGATACAAAATTTTAAAATTAGAGTTTCATATAAAGTATAGATTTTCAACTTTTCTACAAAAATTAGAAGAGCTAAGAATTTCTGCATAGCAACAGTAGCTGAAAAATTGTCCCTACTCATATAGATGACAACTGTAAAGCCCTCTAATTCTCTTTGGATTCCTGGTTCCTATAGGCATTCTAGCTTGTAGCCTTGGTTTAAAACATTGATTTTTCAGGTTTTGAAGTCCCTCAAAAACAAAAAACCTGAACTAATAAATGACATAGATCCTCAAATGGAACTAGAGCAGATAACAAGTTGATCATAGATAGTGGCCCCAAACTCTAATGTTGCACATTAGGGTTACCAAGAAGCTTTAAAAAATTCTGCTGCCCAACTCAGAGTGTCATTTTACTTGTAAAGATTTTATGTGAAAGAGCAGAAATGGGCCCATTGCAGAGGCTCACTCTCAGGTTCATTTGGATTCTTTATAATAGGAAATTTCCCACTTGCAAGTTTAAGTTTCCCATTTAAAAATGAAGAAGCAAAACTAGGGAGAGATTAATTTTCCCAAGTTCACACAACTAGTAGATGTTAAGATTTAAGGGATGGGGGTATAGTTCAATGGTAGAGCACTTGCCTAGTATGCTTGAGGCTCAAGATTTGATTCCCAGCGTTGCCCCCCCCCCCAAAAAAAAGGAAACCTAGCTTGTTTTTTTTTAAATATATTTTTTTAGTTATTGATAGACCTTTATCTATCTATCTATCTATCTATCTATCTATTTATTTATTTATTTATTTATATGTGGGCTGAGAATCAAACCCAGTGCCTCACAAATGCTAGGCAAGTACTCTACCATTGAGCTACAACCCCAGCCCAGGATTCCTTATCTTATATATAGTTTGATAGTGATTTAAATTGGTACAAGAATGGTATTAAATACTTAAGTGGAAGTGGAAATACTGAGTGGCCATATAAAATTTTATCCTCAAAGTATGTTAAAAAACATATTAACATCATAACTATGACCAACAATTGACCAAGATATTTTACTTAAAATTAATTTTTATATTTGGAAAAAAGTTAAAAGAAGATAAATATAAGTCTCATAGGCAGACAACAGAGACTACTATTAAAACCAGTGAACTAAAAGTGGGGTACAGTGGTTTATGCCTGTAGTCCCAGTTATTCTGCAGGCTGAGGCAATAGGATTGCTTGAGCCCAGGGGAAATACTTAAGCCCATAAGTTTAAGGCCAGGTTAGGCAATATAGCAAGAGCATGTCTCAAAAAAATAAAAAGAAGACATTTCAGGGAACTCAGAATTTGATATATTTCAATTACTATATGTTATAATTCAAATAGACTTCATTTAATGTTATAAAATTATATCTTGAGATAGGATATAACATAAGCTCTATACTTCACATCACTGAAACTATTTTTAAAACATGATGAAAATAAGAAAATAATTATGCTAAAATGTAGGTAGATTTATGGATGATTTGTTTTCTGCATTTTCAAAAATTTCTAAAATGACAATGTTATATAATGACATGTTATAGCCAAAAACAGTATTTAAAATTTTTTTAGGTAGAATGGCAAATTAGCAAAATAATATGTTCAACATTATTATCAAGACTAGACTTCTTGGGCAAGTTGGTCAGATAGGTGTGTGTTAGATAGGTGTGTGTTGCATTTTGCACCTCCCCAAGATTATTCAACTTTATTTTAGCTTTTTATTGTTTCCTTAAAAGACAGAATGAGGGGGGCTGGGGCTGTAGCTCAGCCCGCAGAGTACTTGCCTAGCATGCATAAGGCACTGAGTTCGATCCTCAGTACCACATAAAAATAAACAGATAAAATAAAGGCATTCTGTCCATCTATAACTACAAAAAAAAAAAAAAAAACAGAACGAGAATCAAGGTTTCTGAAATCTGTGTACCACCATACCACTCTGTCATTTTTTAGAAAAAATGTCTAGTAGACTCAGGAGTATAAACATGGGCCATTTACAAACCAGAAGTCTAATTTCAGTTATCTCAAAATTGAAAGTGGGGGATGGGTCTGTGGCTCAGTGAGAGAACACTTGCCTAGCATGTATGAGGCACTGAGTTCGATCCTCAGCACCACATAAAAATAAATAAATAATATAAACATATTGTGTCCATCTACAACTAATAAAATATATTTTAAAAAAATTGAAAGTGGGTGAGATTCCTTTGTTTAAGTGATGGGGATTGAACCCAGGGTCATGTACATTGTAAGCACCTTGTACATGATAAGCTACCACTTAGCTACAGAGTGGGTTTTTTAAAAGGCTAAAATGGTTTTATGTTAATTGCTTTTTCTTTGTTATTTAATATCTGTTTACTTTTAAGAAAATTTTTTTCAGTACTGGAGAATGAAGCCAAGAGTGTTCTCCTTCTGAGCTACATCTCCAACCCTTTTTTTTAAAAGAGAGAGTGAGAGAGAGAGAGAATTTTTTTTAATATTTATTTTTTTTTAGTTCTCGGCGGACACAACATCTTTGTTGGTATGTGGTGCTGAGGATCGAACCCGGGCCGCACGCA